CCCTCTGAATTCCAGCGCTGCAAAACTTTACCTGTGACCTAAATAAATTCTGCATCTGAGAACTGAAGATTTCTCCGGCTTGTTCTTGGGCTTCCAGCTAAAGAATCGGATCTAATCCGTCCTCATTATATCTTTATTTTGATCTTTATCCGACTTCTTGTCTCGTTTCTTCCTGTGAGTTATGTAATGTGAGGCATCAACACGGTTTATTTTATCTCATTTAGTTCATCTACAGACACGACGAGCAGTTTATTCCCCCGACTGAGGAGCAGACGTGATGATCTTCTCATCATCTCAGAGTGGAAGTCATCGTTTAAGGTGAGAGACGGTGAAAATCAGGAACTACGATGGGATATAAAACCATTTTCAGTCCAAATGCGGTCTGCCTCCTGAGTCAAGTCGACCCGTTATCGTCTGAACCAGGCATCAGAGAACAACTAAACCAAACCAGTGACCAAATGAAACACCTGCACACCTGGCTGATCGCTGCTCAGTTATCGAGCCTCTTTGAGTTAAAACATCCTAACTGCATCCGTTTCTAAGTCAGACTTCTGTGTGGCTGAGCTTCGTCGTGCACATCTGTCCACATCTGCTGAACTAACCTCCGACTGGCTGGTGTTAATAAGCGACAGCAGCAGGAAGCACATCGACGGAATCGTTCGGACTCAAGCGACAAAACAAGAACAAGAACAGCAGCCGGTTTCAGTGCAAACAGCTTCACGTCTTTAGCTTCAAACAACACGACACACACACACACGCACACACACTTCTACGACACAACTCAGCTACACAAACACTGAAAACGCTGCAGCTTGTAGTTTCATGGTGGCGGCTGTTTCATTTTAAATTCTCACCAATGTTTCCTATTTTACAAGATTAATTTACGAATTAAGAACCACAAAACTGATTCATGTCACACTTCTCATGTCTTGCTGCTTTTATGGTGTAAATATAAAACAAATAATTGAATAAAATCACATCTTTTGTGAGTATTTAAGCGTCCTTAAGGAACAAAACACTGATTTAACGAGAGATCAAAGCAGCACGATGTGTGAGTTCAGTATCGACCAGCGAGTGACGTGAAGTAAAAACACTTTTGCTGCTCGTTGAGACAGAAATAAGAGTATTTTTGACGTTATTTTCAATAATCTAAGTTTGTCGACCTGCAGGTTGTGAATGCAAACATCACAACAAGCGAAATACACACAAAAAGGAGATTTTTATGGAAATATTTCAGCTACAGAAAACAAGACGTCGACCAAAAGCTGTTTCAGACGTCGCTGTCAGAGGGACACCAAATTAAAACAAACATCCGTTTTCAGCTTTTTTTTAAAAGGATTTTTTTACTTTTTAAGCAGATTCAAACTCATCTCAGTCACTCTACAGTGATTATTTATTTAATATTCTTCTAACTTCCACCCTCGTTTTTATGCTTTTAATCCTCATTTTCTTTTTCATTACCTGGTTGGGGCATTTTTAGTGCTTTTATTGTGATTTTTTTTTGTTTTCCTCCATTTTTTTGTTCCTCTGATCTCTTTTCTTCCTGTTTTAAAGCTGTTTGGTGCATAAATAAAGTTATTATTATTATTATTATCAGCTGAACACGTCCTGCAACAGACGACACAAGAACACCACATGTTGTTCAGCCCTCATCGAATTTTAATGCAACTGTTTGCTTACGAGGAGTTTCAGTTTATTCGGTTTTTCTACGTCTCATATTCGCATCACAGACTCTACGTTTCAGCGGCTCTCAGTCGTATTTCCTGAGCTTCTTCAACAGATGAAGTTTGGTAGGTGTTCTAACTTCTGTTTTTCTGAACATTTAAAGGATTTCTAGTAAATTTCAGTGTTTAAATGTGACTCTGAGGTTGTCTGGGATTTAAAAAACATCATTTGGACAGGTTGAAAACGACAAAATGACGGTTAAAGAGATCTGCTGTCACAGTTCAGACTGAGCTGCCGTAAAAAAAAAGTCAAATATTTGGGTATTAAAACACACATTGTTCTGTTTTTCACTGATTATCTTACTTTAGGACAACATCAGCCTCCTGTTGTTGTTGTTTTGATCATTGCTGCTTTAAAAATAAAAAGCAGACTTTACTCCTCTCATATAAATTTGATGTCAAAAACACATTGTTGTGTGTTTAAGAGGCGTTTTAATGAATATTTGTTTGTCTGCTGCAGCACAAACCACCATGAAACTCCAGGTTTGCATCGACGCCGCCAACAACCTCTAACATCCGCTAAGACCTCCGCTGTTAAGACCAACGCTGCCGTGAGACACACACACACAGAGAGTGAAGCGGTGAGTTTACCTGGGATGTAGACTGTCATCACAACACACAGGATTATATGTAGGAGGAAGGATGGAGCTGGTTAGAGACTTTAAATCACAGTGAGCTCAACTACAGAACGATCAGAGACGCTGGAGGAGATTCAAACAGGAAAACGTGGCTGGACGGTGATCTGAGTGAAGGTTTGATGATTAAGCAGAGTCATGCTGCTCTGTTAGATTCGTCAATTAGAGATTTCGGGCCGGTGATCGGGTTGGAATCGGGCACATGAGCTGCCTACCTGGCCTCTTGGGGGCCTTCTTGGTGGGCGTTTCCTTGCGTTTGGCCTGGACGGCCGGCGAGTAGAGGATCCCCGAGGAGGCGCTGTTCTTACGGAAGTGATCCTTCAGGCCTTTGATGGAGCGGTCGAGCTGGTTGGACCTGATCTGGAAGTAAACGTTCATGAAATCTGCAGGAGAGACGACGAGACACGTTATCAGAAACATCGCTCTGGTTCCTCCACGTGTTTCTGAAATCTTTGTTTTGAAGAATTGCATCAACAAAAACAACGGAAACTTTAAAATCTATTAAAAACTTCCCAGATGTCGCGTCTCATCTGAGGTGATTTTAGAGTAAAACTGTACATTTTCTTCACCAGGTGTTTTTTAGAAAAGTACAGTAACAAATGTGCAAATATAAACTGTAACCGATGGACGTTGCTGCACATTCATGAAAACATAAAGAGTTTAAATGCACACCAGGTTCAGCTACATGTAAACATCTGTGCAGGTTCAGTGTGTGAATAGACGCCGAAAGATTTGACTTTTTAAAAATGTAATTAGCTTCACAGGAGACGTAAACACCTTTTCTGAATCACAGCGAAACGCCGTCGATATCAGCTGACGTGAAAAAATAATGAGACCAAAGTCAGAACGCTGGTTCGTCCATCATTAAAATAAAAGTAAAACTCTTTGTTTCTGCAGGATTCACAGCTGAAACATCTCAGTCTCCACAACATCAATGCTATTCACAAGATTAGTTTCTCTATAGTTTGTCTCAATAGCACAAACTCAGAAGCCTCTAAGATGGACGCTGCATCAGTCACAGTTTGTAAAATATACAATAATAAAGCAAAGCAGACCGACTTCTACAGATTCTACTAAAGAATGAATGTTGTCTGGTTGGACTCCAGAAGAACAAACTGCTCTGATGTGACCACCTGAATTATCTGAACCTTCTCTGTTTCATATGGGGGATGAGCTAACGCTCTGCTAAGTAACTCGAGCTAAACAACAGCTCTCACTCACTAACTAAACAAGAGCGAACAGCCAATCAGAGAGCACTGTGGGCGGGGCATTGCAGAGACCAAATCAGAGTGCGTCAGAGCCAAACTAGAACATTTGATTTATTTTTGCAATAATCGGTTCATGAAAATAAGGATGTCAATAATCTGATGATGCTAAACATCAATGCTGTTGTCATTAAAGTCAATAATCAGTCGATGCCTCGCCTGAAGTAAATAAAAACTACACGAGTCAAACCCAGAACTCACCCTGGTTCCGTCCGTATTCCACCAGCCAGCCGGCGATGCAGATGATGTCCTGCAGGACGGCTTCGGGCAGATGTTCCAGAACCACCTCCTCCTGGACCTCCAGCTCCTCGTCCACGCTGATGGCGTCCAGGATGAGGATGGGAGGGACGGGTTTGCTGTAGCGCGTCAGCAGGCTGCGAAACTCCGCCTCCAGCAGCTCTTTGCCTTTTTCAAAGCGAGCTTTCTGCACAAAAGCAACAAAAAGGGGAAATCTTTGACTTTTGGTTTTCTGCCGCTGAGACGCGTTTTGATGTAAAAAGTAAAGCGGATGCTGTACCACGGTGTTGAGCTCAGGACTGTCGGGGTTGTTGTCCTGGAAATACTCCACAGCTTTCTGGATCTTTGCAATGCAGCTGAGATACTCATCCAGCCTGCCTGTAGGTCTGAGACGCAAAACACGACATATCACACATTTAAACGCCGAAAGAGCATCATGTTGACAATTTAATGACAAACTAAAAACATCACATGCAGAACAATGACCACAAGTACATGACAGGAGGCAGATAAATTAAATTATTATTATTATTATTATCTTAAGAAACACTAAGAAATACTGTAAGTTATTTGTCATCTGTATTAAATTGTTTTTAAAATTACATTTGGCTGAAAAGAATTTTAAAAAAATATTTATTGTAATTTACAGTAAACTATTTTCTCTACGAGGTCGTTCTTTCACCATTTCATAAAAACCTTATTTGTGTTTAGATGTTTACACATTTAAGATGCGTTTGTTTTCCAACATGAACATACAGGAACAAATATCTGTAATTTTGGGGTTATTCATGTTGAATTACGTTTGATATTTTACTGTATTTATAGAAATATTTAGTTACTAAGTCTGCGACAGAGAACACGAACTGTGACACATAAAACTGTTCAATTAAAAGTTCATTGACCTTCACAATGTAATGAAAAATATAATATTAAAAAACATTAACATGCTGACAGGCAGATAATAGAAAGTAAAAGCGTTATAATTTCTATTCAACATGATTTTACTGTTATTTTAACTGTTGGTGATTTTTTTATATCCTGCTGTAATTGGATATTAAACAATTTTCTCTAACAGGGTTTTCTTTCACTATTTCCTAAAAATGTTTGCTTTTATTTTTATTTTAACACATTTAAGAGTCAAAATGTGTGTTTCTACTTATGTTTGGCATTAAATTACAAAGAGAATAAACAGGAACAAATCTGTAATGTTACAGTCATTCATTGCTGAATTGTTTTTGATATTTTACTGTAGTTTTATAGAAAATCCAAACTCTGACACCTGCAACTGTCCACTTACCCCTCTCTGATGATCCGGTCGGTGTCTTTGGCCACGTGGTAGTAGCTGATGACGTGGTCCATGCAGGACAGCGTTTTGTCCACGTTCTCCTGCAGACGCTGCAGGTTCTCCGTCTGCTTGTGAACCGGGATGATGGAGTTCTCCAGCTGCATCAGGCGGCTCTCGAATGAAGACAAGATGGAGACCTTCAGGACGAGAGGAACGACGAGTTAGAAACAGACAACAAACTATCAGTAAACATAGAGAACGTGTGACCTCCAGAACATCCAGGACAGACTGCAGCTTCTGTGTCTCGTGATGGAAGTGAAAACGACAATAAAAGTGAACGATTAAAATCCAAATTAAAGAATGACAACAAAAAGGAAAGTTAAGCAGGATCTCAGAAGACTCTCTGTTTGGAAACTGGTCCTAAACCGGACAGTAAAAGGCTTTTAAAACCAGTTTTAAATAAATTCACCTTGTTTTACCCCAAAATAACAGGTCCAGATTAAATATATATAAATATATTCTACCTAAACCGTTCTTCTACTTGTGACAGATTTTTCTTGATCTAAAACTCTGGTCCTGACAAAAATGTTTAACATAATTGGTCTACTCATTAAACAACATGTTAACGAGCTGAATACTGATTTTATAACCACAGCATCAAACTCACCAAACACGACACGCCTCAGAGGGAAAGCTAGAACATATAAAGTCCTGCTCCAGTACATGTGTTTACATCAGCTGTTTATCTCTGATCTGTCAATCACACACTCAGAGGGTCTTCTTCCTGAAAGGGGCGGGGCCAGCAGTAGGGGGCGGGGCCAGCATTTAAAGCGACAGACACCGGAACAGCCTGATGTATAGTTATGGAGAAATCAACCATGTTTTAAGGGAGTTGGAGCTAAAAAATAACTAAAAATATTTTAGGGACGTGTGAGACTTTCACTAATTTTCTGAAAATGGGTCAATATGGATGTTTTAGGTTTGAAAAATTTGACAAAATAAAGGCTTTTTCTTCCATTCAGAGTAAAATAAATTGCAGCAACACAAGTCAAAGCTGCACATTATTAACACAGAGAGTCACGTGATCAGAGGTCTGACACCAACACTAAACCCGGCGCAGGGTCGCTTCATGACTGTGTTTGTTTTTTTTGTGTAAATACGACATTAATGCGTGTTTCAGTGTGTTTGCTTCCTCTCACCATCCCTTTGGTCAGCTGGTCGCTCTTCTCCAGGTTTTCTCTGATGAACGACAGAGTCTCCTGCTCCTGTGATGAACAGAAAACCAGCCGGTCACGAATGTCACACTTTATAATCAGCAGGAATCATGAAAACACGGATGCTAACAGAGCAGAAGTGGAGCTCTGGGAGGCTAACCTGCTTCAGCTTCTCCTCGATCTCCCGCTTCCTGGCGGACGCATCCTCGGTGGGGATCATCCTGGAGGAAACCCGCCGTCAGCAGACGTCCTCCGGTGGCGTTAATGTGCAAAAATCACCCGTTAATAACAGAAAAAACAACAAAGACGACGCTCCAAAGCTGCTGTTTTGGCTAACAGCTAACAGCGGCGATGTTAAGTTACGGAAGTTTAGCCGCTTGGAGAAGAGAAATCCGGTGAGAATTTCAAAATAAAATACGACAACCCAAACCTTGACGGTATATAAAATTCTAAACATTTGTAGATAAATAGAATAACTACATCCATTCGGAAACAGTCTATAAATTATTAATCGTTTATAGACTAAACCTACATATAAAATGTACATATACATTAGATTTGGTAGGCTTTGTTATTATTTTAGAATTTCATATGTTTCATAGATGGTATTGAATAGAAAGTATTTCATGTTCATATAATAATGTAGATTTTTTGAGCCTGTTGATTAAATCTGTAAAGTAAAATTCTACAGTAAGTGATACTGCAGAGTCTTAACCTTAATATCTAAATTGGTCTGGTCAATTTTTATTATAAATCATTTTTGCAGGGTTTGAAATATAGATTTGATTTTGGAGGGTAAAATTATGTTTTATCAGATATCATTCAGTTTTAACCTTGATGTTGAAACAATTACAGTAACTTGTGTTTTAATGTAATATCGTAGGATCCTAATATTAAAAAAAAACGTTAGTTCAATTCAAAACACTCATTCCTATGTCTCTGTTACTGAACACTTTGATTCTACAGCTGTTGCTTTAAAAAGAGCTAAATAAATAAAGCTATTATTCGTATTATTTTGTGCTTCCATATGTAAAGTTTGTCCCTTCTTTTCAACCTTTAAAATCTCTTTTAATTTGTAGGAAACTGATTTTCCCCTTTCTAGGTGCATCCGCCTCACTTCCGGTGAGGCTTGGCCGTCTCGTGACCCTGAAGACACTCAAACGATAAAAATAAAATAGTTTGTTGTGGAAAATTAAATGAACTTTTTTTCATTTAAATTGCTACAAAGAAAATAATGTCGATAATTATTTTAATGACGGAGTTTTAAATAACATATAACCGAGGTGGTGTCATGTTACATGCAATGACGTAAATCAGCCAATGGAGGTCGCTGTCCGGTTCAATATTAAACTAATGATGCAAAAGAAAACGTATTAAACTGAATACAGACGAAATATATAATATAACTGTGAAATAAACCAAATAAATGTTCGTTGTTTTGCATTAAACTAATTTAAACATTTACACAAAAATAAAAATATCAAAAACAGCCAGAACAATATTATAAACCTTATTTTCCACTTTTAATCAGTAAGATTTTAAACCAACACGAGTGTTAATGTTAATCCTTTAAATGTTGACATCATGCCACAGCTGTTTGTTGTGAAAAACAAACCACAGGAAGCTGATTTTCTATATGATTTGTTTGTTTTTGTTTAGTAATTTTGATGAGTTTGTCAAACGTCACCGATGAGCAACAACATTGATTCTGATTCACTGGAATTTTTGTGTATTATCAGATTTAAAGCTAAAACTTACCTGAAGGACTTTAAGGACAAAATATCCTCATTAAAGATGAATTGAGCCAATATTAGTCCTGATCATAATCACCAAACATGTATTCATTTTCAGGAATTTAACCCTTTAAATGCCGGTTTGTTTACATAAAGTCACTGTTGCACTCATTCATTTTCCATTCATGGATTTTTTGTGTGTGTGTTAAGATGATCACCAACTTTAATTCTGACACATTTACTATTTTTTTGTGCAGTCCGATTAAGAAGAAAATAACATTTAGGACCTTAAGGACAAAAATATCTGCTTTAAAAAATGTATAGAAATATATATATATATATATATATATATATACACAAAGTATTAGAATTGTTATCATAAATTAAGAAACAAAACTGCTGCTATAAAACAAACGTTACCTAATATTCGGGGCATCAAGTTCAAAATATCTTCTGTATTTTTTATTCCTATAAACTAAAACACGAGAGACTTTTCTTGCGAGCAACAAAACAGAAGAACTGATGCGTCTGTTTGCACGAATAAAAACTATCACACTGTTGGTAAAATTGTTAGAAATGTATTTGCACAAAAGATGAAGTTCCACATAAGTTTCTTTACTTACATATTTACAAAACCTCTTTACACAGTCTCTTATACAAACTGAAGTATTTGCATAAGCCCTCCCAGAAACACGAGTTTAATTCTATAAAGTCGTTAGAGGCCATGAAAACACAAAACAAACAGGATGTCTGAGGGAGCTACGACACAAACTACTCTCCGTTTAATTCCACCTTTTGTTTCATTCATGCATTTCTGCTGAAGCAAAGTTTATTGCTGGACTTCAGTCATTAAACAGCTTCCAGACGTCTGAGAAACTTCTACCGAGTCACTTTACAAGAGAAAGGAAATCAAATAATCAAAAACTTCAACTGAAAAAAAACAAAAAAAGGTTAGTCTCTACGCGTCCTCCTGCTAAAACAACAGATATTATAGCATTGAGAATAATGCAGACGAGTTCACATCGCAGAGGTTCTCTACGATTCCTCTTCTTTGGACAGCGCCTGAGGAGGAACAACACATTGTGAGGAACACGACAAATAAAAACTCTTTATTTATCAAATTTAAAAAAAACAAAACAGCTCACCTGTTTGAGGAACTGTCGGCCAAAATAATTGGTGGCCATGTTCTTCAGGTCGGTCTTCCCTCCGACTTTACATTTGACGTATCCGTAGAGATTCGCTCCTTGCAGCACCAAACCCATGATCACGACCGGCTGACAGGAAAAAAATCAGTGTTATGGTTCAGCAACAGTGAAATCTTTCACAGACACGTCTGCTGTTGTTATACAGTCAGACTACCATCCACTAATCCCATGAAAAGGCAACAATAAGTTATACTGGAGCTGCAGTTAATCACCATTTAGATTCTGTTTTGAGCAGAAAATCTCCCCAGAATGTAGATTGTTGAACAAATAAATAAGACTTACATCACTTGAAGTATAAAAAAGTGTTTTCTAACCATAAAAACTTCATCTTTTATGTAAAATGCGTTGATGGTCATCAGTTTATCAAACACACTTTATTTTCTTTGTACAGGACGAAGATTCGTTTAAAATGTAAAAGTCTTAAATCTCTGTTTACACGAATGAAAGCACCACAAAAACATCAACTAAAGCAAGAAATGTGTGAAAAGAGCCCAACAAAACCGGCTTTCCTTTTGTTTCTGTAACACTTGATTAAAAAAAACTGCTCTTTTAGTGATTTACTGACACTCTTTTAAAAATAAAACATATATTTATGGTGTTTTTAAAGCTTCACATCTTCAGTAGGACCTTCAAGGTGAGTCACCAACGTGTTGAGACAAACACGTTGTGGATTTTCTTTCTTTTTGTCGACACTAAGATCAGAACAGAAGTGTTTCCTCCCTCCTACTCAGTGACCTACCAGCCATTTAATATTGAAGGAGAACAAGGTGCTGAAGACGAAGATGACCCAGAGAATGGGACAAACGATGAGGCCAAGCCAGAAGATCCGTGACTCCGAGTTTGACGCCTGCTGTTTCCCAGAACGCTGAACAAAACAGGATATTCTCACAGTCAGGACATCTGCAAATACCATGAAGCCGCTGACAGTAAACACATTTATCAGAGTCAGAATCATGTGAGAGCTGCTGACCTTCCTCGACTCAAACACCCAGTGGCTCCGTCCGTCGTCGTCCACCTGGTTCCACCACCTCAGACCCACCATCAGCCTCCCAGTGATGTTCTACGAGTGGAGATGAGAACAGCCCGACCCATAAATACGGTTCCAACACACTCAACGTGATGTAGTCGTCTAGATTTGACACAAATGATTCACACAGTACGAACGCTGGAGGTCCTGACTGGGGCTGAACGACGTGTGGAACATGTTTCACATTCTTCTGACAGACGCTGAGATTTTATCTGCATTTTTTTAAAGTCAAGTTTTCAAACATGTGACGTTAGAGCATGAGACACTGTGGCTGTCACACAACACCAGAACCTTCTAGACTCCAGGAGGGTTCTGGGTGCTTTTGGTTCCTGCCACATTGTTCACTGCAATAATTTATCAACTAAAATGAAAGCTGAATTTCTTTGGTTATTTATTTTACTTTTAACTATGGATGTGTATAAATCAGGGAACTTGTTATCATTCAGTCCATCATCTGTGTGCTGCAGATGATTCTGACTATTTGATTAATTTATTTTCTGGAATGAAAAAACTCTGAAGATTTCAGCGTCTCACACATCAGCACTACATGTCTGTTAAGGTTTGGGCTGAACAACTCAAAGATGTTCATTTAGAAATCCATCCATCCATCATCTAGACACCTTAATCCTCACCAGGGTCATGGGGGGCTGGAGTCTATCCCAGCTGACTCAGGGTGAAGGCAGGTTCACCTGGACAGGTAACCAGTCTATCACAGGGCTACACTTAGAGACAGACAACCAAGCACACTCACATTCACACCTACGGACAATTTACAATCACCAATTAACCTCAACATGTTTCTGGACTGTGGGAGGAAGCCGGAGAACCCGGAGAGAACCCACGCTGCACGGGGAGAACATGGAGACTCCACGCAGAAAGATCCCGGGTGTCCTCACCGGGATGGAAACCAGCGACCTTCTAGCTGTGAGGCGACGATGCTAACCACTGAGACACCTTGCAGCCCCATGTAGCAAATCTAAAAGGCTACAGCTGAGGATATACGAGGCGCAGCTAATAAATAATAAACCGACAGTTCAGTGAATGTTTACATCCTTTGATGAACAGTCACAGTTTGAGTTTAAACTGTTCTGTCAAATGTTTTAAATCTATTAAACAGAGAATACTGAGGTAAAACTTCTCTTTCTAAACTTAAATCACAAATAAAATCAGAAAAATGGAACTAGATGTTTTCCCCAAACCACTCAGCTCCAGATGAAGTGTCTTTAAACGACAACGATTGTGTCACTTTACTGCATGTCACGCTGTGAGAGATGGATCTGATCAAATCCTGGTTTTAATCAGGGTCAGATTGTGCAACGACAAATCGCAGCACCACAGCATAAATCACAACATAAATGTGTGACAGTAGAGACACAACGTCTGTGTGCAGCTCCTCTTCTTCTTCTTCTTCTTCGCTGGAGTCACGCAAACTTCATTTGTTTTTGTTCACTTTTTTATTCTAGACCATCTCTGTGACATGTTGTGCTGCTCGACGCTCTCTGTGTTGCTTCATGTTGTGTTCTGACTTTGAGCGTTTTATCCTGAAGGTCTGATTCTGTCTTTGCTGTAGAAAAACGTCCATCAGTAGACGGATCTCATCAGGCTGATCTGAAGACATTGTTTTAGACTGAAAACCAAAGATTTCTCTCCTGATTACTGATGTTCATCTCAGCCTCTTCGGACAACAACACAAAACCCACTAATCAGAGCAGAGGGGAGCTGCGTTTTCCATTTAGCTTCTGATTAAACTACAACTTCCCACTAAACTGTAGCTTCAGCTGATCTTATAAAATGTGCTCACATCGGCTCAGGCTGCATCTGGACTTCTTTAATCTAATCCACTGAGCTGTGATGTAAAAGCAGACACACCTTCACTGTCCAGAAGTCACATGACAGCAGGAGGATAATGGTGACCATGCAGGCGATGAAGCTTTTGCTGTAGAATCCACAGAGCAGATACACGCAGACGGCGCTAACTCTGAAGAAGAGGTGGAAGAACGTCGCCACCGGATGCCTGGAGACAGAGTTTTAAACACATTTACTGACTGTGGAGCATCTGCACAGACAAAAGTGTGACACGTACTCAGAATTACTCTCATATCTCAGAGTATTTAGTTGATTAATCAACTGAAGAAACAAGAAAAGGGTAAAAACATAATAAATAACAAATCTTACAGCTTAAAAAGATTTAGTTTATCATCAGATGTGACAAAGACAAGAATCAAATCCTCTCAAACGTGCTTAAATGACAGAATAAAGTGAAATATTTACTCAACAGAGACGTCTGTACACTCACTTAATATTTGACTTTGACTTTTTCCCTGCATCCTCCTCGGCATCAAACAGAGACACGTCTTCATCATTGGGATCCTGAGGGATCAATAAGGAAGAAGCTTAACCTCTGGAGACTCAGAGACGTCGACTGAAAGCCTCGTGTGGATTCATATGGACGGTTCAAAGGTCAGAGGAGCTTCAGCGATAACGAGTTCAAACCAGAAATATGTGAATTCAGTAAATCTACTGCACCGACCGACAGCCAGCACCCTATCCAGACACTCTGAGCTCTTCTGCTCCAGAACCAAGGACATTTCAACCCCATAGTCAGAATTTATGAGCAGAATACAGTCACAGTTGTACATAGATGCAGTGAATTAATGGTGATACTCCACATACTCCATTTATCCTGAGCTCAGATCAGCAGTGGATTTGGTTAAACCTCCACGACTTCATATAATCACATCAGGTTGTGTAATCCTTGACTCCGGTAATTGTTTCATGTCAGATGAGCATCAAAAATTAATTTAGTGACAGTTTTTTAACAACTTAGTGGATATTTTTTTCTCTCCTGTAAAAGTCAACTGCCTAAAAAACCACCTGGACTTTAGACGCTAAGAAATCAACAAAATCTTACATTCAAGAGCTGTGAGCAAGCAAATTTCTTTCTTGATTATTTGATTAATGGAAAACAATTCAATGTTCTGTCCACTGACAGACTGATAAACCACCCTCATGTGGAAGGTTTATCAGAACACATTTCTTGGTTGAGCTGCTTTTAAATGCTAAACAGTGACTTCGTTTGAAGTGTTGCCTTTAATTCCCGAAAATCGCATATTTATCGAAGTGTATCTGCCACACAGTGAAAGCACAGCTAATGATTACTGAAGCATTTTATCAGAATGAACGACTTCACAACTTTAGCTCACTTTAGCTTGTCTGTGTTAACCTAGATATTTAAGCTGCTAACTCGTCAATGCTAAGCCATTGTGAGACATTTATTCCCTTAAAATAAACGTGACCTCTGCAGCTGAAACAACGCCACGTTAGCAGCAGTGTTGTCGATGACTGACTCTGAGAGTTTCATGTTTTGATGCGATGATCGTACTCAGGATGAGGCGGAGAAGCTAACGTTAGCCACCGTTAGCTGACACTGAAACAGCTGCTAGCTAACGCGGTTTAAACTCACGTACATAAGCTGAAAACAGTTTGGGAACATTATAAGAAGGAAACTTTACAGTTATGTGGTTTTGGAGACGTCAAAGTGAAGCTAACGTTGGCGGCGCAGAAATGTTACGTAGCTACCAAACTTAGCATGCTAACTACTTAGCAACATTAGCACGACAGATGGCAGCGGGGAGACATTTATTGCTGAATAAATCCTTTCAAATCTGCGTTAACTGGCGCTACAGTCACTGCATGACATTTTAAAGAGATAAAATAAGTATGTCAGTTAAAACATTTTGTCACTTACTCCTGTTAGCATGATGAAACCTGAGCTGCTGCTTCCTGGTTACATGCTCAGCTCCACGTCACCGTCCGTGGTGGTCAGCTGACCACGACGTGCTTACGTAATCACGTGCCTCTGTTTACACTACAGGGTTAATGTCTGTTATTAGTTGTGTTTAAATTGTGTGTTTACGACATAAAACATTGATATATTTGTATTGTATTGACACAGACTGAAGCATCCTGCAGGTTTATTAGTTTTTTTATTAGATTTACAACAAGTGCACTTTGACCGATGATAAAACAATCCTGTAAATCAGTTGAAACTTGTTCAGCTCAGAGACACAAGGTCCTCTTAGTGAAGGAAGTGCTGGTTGGAAATCCAAAAACTATAACTGTCTGAAAAATGCCTCTGTTTTTGTATCTTAACTATATTAGAGGCTCTACATTTGCCTTTATTTGTATAGATTTTAATTGTGCCTTAATTTTTCTAACTTTTATCAATAGAGCTGCATTGATGAACTGATTGTCAACTATTTAATTAATGTGCAGTTATTTTAACAATTAATTAATTGATGTGAGAATTTTTAATTCTCTAAATACAGCCTCTTAAACTTTCAAACTGCTAAATTCCACACTTTAAATAAGATACTGGGCACTGTTTTTGCACAGATCTTAATACAATCTGCACCTTAACTGTATAAATGTGTAAATGTTTTGGGGTTTTTTTTAGGGGTTGATATTTTTTTGTACTTTGATATTTATTTATGTTACCTTTTATGTGTCTTTTAATTCTTTTTTTATTTATTTTACTCTTATTATATTTGTGTCTTTATTCTTGGGTGAGAAATGTTCATGTAACGAAAAAGAATTTCCCCTCATGGATAAATAAAGTATTTATGATTCTGACTGATTTAATACGTTCTGCTTTCTTTTCTTCTCTCTGACAGTAAAGTGAATATCTCGAGGTTGTGGACAAAACAAGACATCTGTCATGTTGGATTTGGGAAACACTGATCAGCATTTTCATCGTTTTATAGACCAAACAACTAATCATTATTAAAAAAAAAATAATAATAATAACTGAAAGATTTATTAACGATGAAAACATGAATTAGTTGCAGCCCTAATCTGAGGGTTGCTTCAATTCAGGGAAAACTCACTGTTGTACGAAGGATGGCCACTGATCTGGAATCTAACAAATCTGGAATATTTTGACTTTATTTCACATGTCAAATATTTTTTAAATCCCTAAACGTTTCTATTATTTCCAGGTTTACATGAAAATATGACAAATTTTCTGTGACTTTTGTATTCAGACATACAAATCTGACATGTTGTGGTCATTACAAAGCTGTGAACGCAGCATCTTGTGCATCAATAGTGTCACTTTGATGTTAAAATAAAAAGTATAAACTTTATTTATTTCTGATGCTCTTCGCATCTAACAGCCACCGTTCATCCATCCAGTGTTTGCTGTCGAAGGAGCTCAAACGTTGAACAAAAGCAGACTTTTATTTTGCAAATAAAGACAGACACGTTTATTTGGAAAATATAGTTGAACATTTGCGGTAACAGTAGTCCCAAAGCTACACAGTAGAGTATAAATATGACCTGAGCCCAAATGTACATGAGATTAACAGATTATCAGTTCTGCAGCAAAAACAATCTGCTGTAAACAAGTGGAACATGGCAAGAGGTTGCACATTATTGTGTAGGTAACAAGTCCATTGTTGGGAGACAGTACAGTCTTTCTATGTCCTTAAAAGATCCAGGAGAAGCCGAGTCTTTCTAAATTGGAGCTCCGTTTGCAGGCGAGGTGGGAGGAGAGGGGCTCTTCAGCGGTAAAGGTTCTCCGGGCGCCACCAAGGCCACGATGTTCTCCTTCTTGGGGAGCCAGAAAGCCGGATACAGCGGCTCCAGGAACTCGGCCTGGTACTCGTGGATGAGCGTCATGGTGTCGTCCACGCCGTAGAACGCCAGCAGGCCCCGGGTGTAGTCCACGTAGACGCCGATCCGCGTGAACTTCTCCACGTTGAGCGGCGTCTCCACGTCGCTGTGCCAGGCGGAGAAGGTCCGGCCGTTCCACTGGACGCACCACGAGAAGTTGTTTCCCGTGATGCAGCTGTTGCTCTCGCTGCCTTTGCGGTCGATGCTCTTGTAGGTGATGCCGATGTGGGTTCCCTCGCCGCCGACGTCCGCCTCGAAGTAGTGCCGGCCCAGGTAGAAGCTCTCCGCCGCCAGAACCTGCCGCCAGTTCTCGAAGCGCTCGGGGACGTCGGGGTAAGGATGCTGCCAGGGCGTGGTGTTCGTCACCTTCCTGTTTTCTTCTGTCAGCCGCAGGAACTTGTGAGCCGTGTCAGCGTCGAAACTGACTTGGGCGGCGTCTGTAAAGGATTGTTCAACACGTCAGGTTAGTTCGGTTACGCCAGAGTCCCTGAGGTCACAGCGGTTTCCATTTAGAGATTGTAAACAAAAACACACCTCGTAAATCCCAGGAAGTGGACTGTAGAGCAGCTCCAGTCACTTATTGTCTTGTTAATAATAATACTATAATAATCCTCATTTAATCAGGCTGACTCACTGACACGGTGACTAAGACTACTAACAGAATTACTAACAGAAAGTATTACAGGACTTTAAACAGCTTATTGATGCAGCACATTTAAAACAGCTGTTTAGCCAAAACATAGGATCAACTTAACAAGTTTAAATACTGAGCTTCAAACCCGACGGTGTCATTTATGATGTGAATGTAGCTGAGTCATTAAAATATTAAGGATTAAACACTTACAGAATATGATATAAACTATGACTGTACCTGACTCGTGATCACTGTGTAAACTGTTTAATAGGATCAAAATGTTCTGGCTTTATGTTTCATCGGGAATAAACTTGGCCTTCAGGACCAAAGTCAGCAGCTGCACTCGTGTGACTTAATTTAATTTAATCAAAGTGTGAGAACAAGTTTATTTATAGTGAATGCCAAAGAGTTCACCTTCAAGCATCTTTGCCAGTAAGAATATACATTCACTCAGTATAACAGGCAACAGGGAACTCTGGTTCTCCAGCCTATAAAGTCATGTCTGAAAATGAAAAATATGCCCCATATTTAAAAAAAAAATCTAATTAACTATATTTGGAGAACCATTTTGAAACTTGGATCCGTCCATCTGCCAGTATTTTTGTTTTTGTGGTACAACTTGTCAAACCTGCTCATCAGTTATTAAAGTTAAATGAAAACAACCATTTTCCATTTTCTGATTTTATAATAAAAAATATTCTCTACGTTTTGTTCTGCATTATTGTGACATGCAGCTACGTGTGGTTCAGAACAAAACGGACTTCTGCGTTATCAATTCTTTCAGCTTAATTTTTTCCATATTTCAGAGATGATTTGATCGACTGTGTTGGTGTTGCAGATTCTGAATCAATGACATGATGATCTTTAATAGTTCCTGAAATATTGTTGTTCAAACAGATTCAAATGTCTTTAAAAAAAAAAAATCAGCTGAAAGTGGTTCAATGGGCAATTAAAAATGAATAAATAAATGATCTAAATAACCAAAGATACCATTTTAAATATGAATAGTTCATGATAAAAAGTTTCAGGTAATTCAGAGACGATTCAAGGTGGACTAATCTTACTGTAAATGTGTCTCTCTGCTCCTAAATGTCATTAAATTAAATGTACCTGTTGTCGTCTTTAGTTTTCTGATGCTGATGTGGATTTAGGGGACTTTTAAACTCCTGACTACGACGTATCTCAGCCAGGTTTCATTATATAAACACTTACACTTTAAGAAGTCGTCACGCGTCACCGGATCAGGTATCGACAGGTTCTGTTTCTGTGCAACGATCTGCTGGACTGTCGTCTTTATCCCCATTTTATCTGAAACCAAAGAAAAAGGGAAGATGACACGATTAAATTTAGATTCATTCGCATGAAGTTCAGAATCAGGTAAACAGGTAATTGCAGTCTTTCTGCTTCTCCAGGTGACACGCTCGGCAGGTGAGTCATGAAGCATTCATGCAGCTGAGCGCTGAGGCATTTAAAGGCCCAAATTCTTCACATGTGCGAACACGCCCAGACAGTCGGAGCGCCACCTGAATGTTTACTGCTGTTTGATTCTCTTTACCGTTTTTGCACGTCTCCTTGACTTTCTCCAGGTACGAGGACACCAACATGGTGCAGAGCTCCTGCGTGGAGTCGACGATCACGCGGCTGAAGGAATTCAGACGGTCCATGAGGCCGATGTAAACCCCCGGCAAGGAAATGTCAGTGGCTTCTTTCTTCCACTCTGAATACTCCTGTGAAGCAAACAGGAATGAGAACCGGAGGACTGTGGAGCCGTGAGGCAGGAAGGACTTTATGTCTTCTGGAGAAACTACAGAAGCTTTTCCACGACGGAAGCTCAGCGAATAATAACCTGAATCTTATGACATAACAATGTGTGCAAGACACTAGACTCCTGCACAGCTGTATTTTGTCCTCAGACGGTTTTTATGAAGCGTAAGCTCCCCGGAGGCAAAGTTTGATTTGAAAGAATCAGCACATTTATGAAGTGCAGGAGGAGGTTGGGGTGGGTGGTGGGCCGACAAAGCAGCAGACTCACATTTATGAATACATATCTTGGTAGATTTGAACTATATATGTTTAAGTTTGTTTTTAGAAATGTTGCACAGCTCCATGATTTCTATGACTCGAACAAGCTTGAGTCTGCAGGAGGAGGTTGGGGTGGGTGGTGGGCCTACAAAGCACTCGACTCGCATTTATAAATAGACACAGTAGATTTTAATGAAACTTTATGTTTAATCCTTTAAAAAAATGCTGTATATAGCAGAGTTCCCTAATGAGCCTCATTTAATAAAAAAAAAAAAAAAAGCATGCAACAGATTCTGCAGGAGGAGGTTGGGGTGTATGGTGGGTGTACAAAGCGCTTGGCCTACATTTATAAATACATAGCCAAGTAAGTTTTAACCATATCAGTTCAAGGTGCATTTTAAAAACGTTGTATGCAGGACAGCTTCCTAATATCCATTTGTAGAAAAAGCTTGCATCAAAGTCTGCAGGAGGAGGTTGGGGTGGATGGTGGGACTACACAGCATCTGACTCACATTTCTAAATCCACATCCAGCTATATTCTAACTATATTTCAAGTTTAATTTTAAGAACACTGTATGCAGCAAAGGTAATTCTTAATTTCCTTTGGCAGAAAAAGCTCATGTCAGAGTCAGCAGGAGGAGGTCGGGGTGGATGGTGGGTGCACAAAGCATTTGACATTTATGAAAAATATATTCAAGCAGGTTTTAACAATACAAGTTAAAGTTTGATTGTAGAAATGCTGCAGACAGCACAGTGTCTACTTTCCCTCTGTAGAAAAAGCTTATATCAAAGTCTGCATTTATGAATAGATATCTAAGTAGAGGGGCTATTTAGGGGCAATTAGCATAATAAAACTGCATTATGGTTCTGTTTCAACACTTGGCGCTCTTGGTAAGGTTAGTGAAAAACAGTAGGCACATGTATGAAGTGCACTTTATGTAAGAGGAGGAGGTCTGGGTGGATGATGGGTGCATAGAGCACTTAACTCACCCTGAGGTGTTTGTAACAGCCATATTTCTGTTACTTTAAAGTCAAATAAAGACCAATTAGCTGAGTTTAAATGATAACTAAGAGCATTTGGTGTGGAACAGAGGTCCAATCGGATCTGTTATCAGTTACTGTTCTCCATCAGTACGGACACACAGCTAGACTTTATTTATCTGACATTAGAAAACGTCAGCAGTTAACAGGATGTTTGTTGTTGTCCAAGTAGGTGTGTTTCTGGAGTCAGACCTGTTTTTTATTAGCTTGAGATTAAAAATAGATTCTGATAAACCAAGACCAGCTGCCTGAATGCATTTATTGTGGAGCAAAGCTAAAAGAAACCTTTCTTGAGTTTCCCTGTTTGCGGTGCAGCTAAAGGCCCATGTTGGGACCATGTTGGGACCATGTTGGGACCACGTTGGGCTTCGATGGTACCTGCAGGAAGTCCACGTCGTTCTTGTTCTTGGAGAGCTTCTCCATCTGAGCCTGAGTCTTCTTCAGCTCGGTGCATCTTTGCTCCAGGTGGACCCGGATGCCATCGGCCTGCTTCAGCGCCTGCTTCTCTTCGCCCTCCAGGATCTCCGTCACCTCCCTCTTGGCCTTCTCCACCACCGACTGCAGCTCCTCGAACTGGCTCTCGATCACGGCTCGCACATCCGTCACCGAGTGCTGTGAAATGAAGACGTATGGACTGAGCATTCTTTGCGTTCAGACAGATAACGTGTTGGGAATCCGGCGAGGCCACACAGATGCTGATGTTACGTAACTGCAGCCTCACTGAGCTCTTTGTTGCCACAAAAAGCAGACTTGAGGAAAACCTGCTCAGCGTGGGAGGCTCCCAAACCTCCAGGATTACAGGCTGGTGGCTTCTCAGGACAGAAATAGCTGCAGGCTGCTCTAATTTAATCAACTATTGTGACATACATGTGACACACACACGATGACTCACTGCTCATGTGTTGTATTTACCTCAATAGAAACAGTGTTGAGCTGAAGCTTGTTGATGGCGTTTTCTGCTGCCGTCACCGTCTTCACCATCTCACTCTGCTTCTCCCGCAGCTCTTTCTACGGACACAAGAATAAACAGACTTCAGCAAGTTTCCTCGTGGAAACCACAATCCACGACATCACGCTGCAACTATGCTAAACAGACACGAAGAATTGTAATGAAATGTGAGAGTTCGGTCGGCTCTGTCAGGAAAGCGCTGTTGTTTCAGAGTTTCCTTCACCCTGGAGGGGTCACACATGGATGATTATACACTCTGACGTTTGTGGTTTTCAAAGCTCCGGCGTGTTTTCAGCCTCACAAGTCAAGCCTAAATTCCTCAGGCAGGTCCGGGCGGCTCCGGAGCCGACGTGAGATTCATCCGACGTAAAGTTTAGACCGAGCGCGACGAGAAATTCCTTTTCTTGAATCAGCAAGCCGGTGCAGGTTCAAACCCAAAATATGCGACATTACCTAATAATTTACTGCCAGAATAATTAAATCTGGAGAAGAGTTCACAGCAGGGAAGCCCTCCGTCCACGCCCTGATCTGTATCGCTCAAAGAAACATATTGAGGTATTCATAGTGTCACACCCAAACAAACCAACAGCCGACATGGAGCTGAGCAGGCACTCAGGTGTGACCGAACTACAACACCTCATTAAAACTATAATTTATTGACATTTGACAGCT